AAAAAAAAAAAACGTTAAAAATTAATCTTTATAAAATATATTTTTAAATGAAAGAATAATAATAAATAAAAACAAAATAAAATAATTAATAATCAATTGATACACGAATATATCTATTTATATTTTTATCTATTTCGTTAATTAAAATGAATAATTAAATTATATTGATAACTCGACTGTCTTTATAAAATAGATCATTAATATCTATTTTAATTAATATCTATTAATGGAAAATGATTAATTTCTTTGCAGTTGATTATCAGACGTTTAGTTTAATTATTGCGTTGTGATTGCGCATATATCTCGAAATTGATTTTCTAATTGCGACTAAAAGAAAATGATAAAATATATTGCTACGCCATTTTATATATACATGTCTCATTGTCGCTTTAAATCGTGTTTACAGCACGTGTTAACAAAGTAAACAAGTGTTACCATTTTTATAAAAATAAGGATTCAATTTTTTTCTAAATATTCAACATTATTTACATTGCACAAATCAAAACACAAAGTTCACATCTGATTCTATCGATTTAGATTAATCTGCTTGTGGTTCACATTATATCCGAGACTTTAAGTAAGACAAAGCATTGTGCAGCGTGTTTTTTTTAAATGAGAATAATGAAATACTTCATAAGAGATTAGTATTTAAATCAAAGAAATATTTTAACAAAACATGTTTTTAACAAAAAGGGATACATCATAAAGTGTAAATTACTTTTTTAAGTCAAGCCATTATTCTTTAAATTAACTTTGAATGCATTAATCGATTTATATCGAAAAATTATTGGTTTAAAAAATTTTCACTTAAATATTGCAACCCCTTATTGTTAAAATTCAGAAGCTGAAGAAAAAAAATAATTTACACCAATGATATCTAACTTCGAATCAAACAATTTTAAAATATTTTTTTGATAATTTTAATCCCTTGGATATAGAGATATTCCACTGTTCTCGATTAAAGAAAACACTGTGTATGTAGATGGCGTGTACAAATCTGACTTGAAGCGCGACATCTGTCGAAACACGTGGCCAATTAACGGATATAAAAAGAAATAAATTAACAGTACGTTAGTAGAGAGGTGTTTATGCGAAAAAAATAAATTTATTTCATTTATATTTATCAAACGAACGGTCACATTTAATCACAAGTGATTAATCATCTTCACAAATTTAGGATCGAATTATTATTATTATTTTTAAATATAGCAGATATGTTTACGTGATTCATCGAAAGGATGTTAACAATTAGGGCAATGCATGTATAGTTTCCATGATGGATCCAAAGTTAGTCTGACGAAGTCGTAACGAGGTTAATAACATTGGTTTAATAACTTGACTGGCGCACAGTTGATTGTGAGTTAAGAATGTAAAAGTAAATTTGGGGTCAATTATAAAACGATTCGAAGTCCTCACTCCTTCGATTAATATTCTCTATCATAGTAACGAGTTCTGTCGCGAATATATATCAAACAGAACGGTCTCGACTGGACTGGTCCCAATGGACTTTAATTTAGCCAATCTTCATAAACTCTGTCCTTGACTGGCAACATATTTGCCTATTACACCATGTCAGACGTTATATTTTACGTTCTTTTTTGTTAATTTAATAATTTACCTTAAAACAATTCAAATGTCAAATATTTAAAAAAATAATATTTTTTTTTGGAATAAATTTATTTCATATATAATATATTATATTCATGTGTAACAAAAATAAAGTTTTACAATATGACGAAAAACGATTATTTCAATATCTCTTAATTTTTTTATAATTATGTTGAATATTTTTGTATAAAATAATTTTGTATTATTAACATGAATTCATTTATGCAATTTTAATTGGAAAAATTTGTTATTGGAAAGTTATTAAATTGTTAAATCTAATTATGTACAAATTCATTAATTACAAATTTAAATCTGAAAATAATTTTCTCGTATTTTGTATTAATGTCATACGATTGAGCGTGAAAAGTAAATGTAGATACATTCAAAACTTAAATTTTTTTAAAAATATTTATGGAATGAATTATATTCATATTATTCCATGTATATGGAATTTTTTGGATGTAAAAATATCAAAATATTTCTATATAATTTTGACATTTTGGTAGAACTTGACGAGTACATTTCAAAAATCATAATTTTAATCTTTAAAAATAAGCATAAGATCGAAAATCATGCATGTTTAAATACATATTAATGAGGTTCAATATGTATATTAAGATGAGTCGATGATTATACAAATGAGCTATAGTAATGCAAATTTTTAATTTTTCGTGTGCATTCTAAATACGATATCAATTGCTAATTAAATATTTATTTATTGAAATTAAACTTGGTTTAATTTACAATGCCTGAGAATTATTTTCGTTTTATTAATCCTTTTCTTTAAGTGCTTTGTAACAAAACCAATATTGATTTTATTTAAACATGAATTTTTCAACCATGAATTTTTAAAATTGTGGAATTTATTCGTCAAATAAAAAAATTAAATATTTTCAACAAAAAAATTTGTATCCGGAAAAATAAAATTTTACGTTTAAATTATATATTAGAACGAATGACATGTATCAACAGTTTGAAATATAAGTTAATTTTACCCCGAATAGTGATTAGAAAAAAAAAAAGAAGGAATCGAAATAAGTTGAAAAGAGAGAAGGTGAAGAGAGAAAGTATGATCGAAAGAAAGAGAGAAAACTGATATAGAATTGCTTTTGGTCCCAATGGCTTGTGGACGAACGCGTGAACTCTATTTTTAGTCTTCAGTGAAATGACAGTCTCTCTTCAGTGTATATGAGAAGCTATTGATAGGTCGCGGGCTTCGTCGTGAGAGCAGTCAGGCAGACACATCGCGTGAATCACACGAGACGTTGTCGTTTCTTTACCTGAAGTCATATATTGCGCTAGTATGTCTACCATTACTCGTTCTCTAACCAACCAATCAGACGTACGTAGATGGCAGCACGTTAAAAGATCTCATAATAATTCTAGATTTAATTAACGCATCAAAAAACAATCAGAAAAGATTGATTCAAAATTTCTCACGAAATCCGCGGTGCGCGGAGTTGAAAAAGTGTTTGTTTTTAAACTGGAAATGTTTGAAAGGCAGCCCACACGAAGGAATCCCACGCATGAATCGACATTGATTTCCTACTCGATCGTTAGAGAACGTTCATCTTGCTTCTATTATTATTATTTCTAGAATAGCGTCGAAATAATGAATGGCTACTACGATCAGAGAAAATCGTGGGTGGCTGAAACCATACCAGCCACAGTTTATGAATAGCGGGACGCTTTTTAATTCGAGGCTCAAGATGATCGTTCGACCGATCTCTCTCGCGAAAACGTTCTCATCACATCGTACGTGGACATTTACATACATACATACATACATACGTACGTACGTACACATTCATAGCCGTTTGGTTGCGATATTAACACAGTCGTGTGATATTTTTGGCCATAGCGTCACACAGTTATATTTATACGGTATTTGCAACTTCGAAGGATATTCAAAACTTCCTTAAAGAGAAGAAAAAAAACAAAAGCGTTTTTTTATCAGTATCATTATTATTACGTTCATTTGCGCTTAATTAAGAATAGATTCTATGAAATAATATACCTTATTATTACCTTTAATTTATCAATGCAGTTAGTTGTACGTATATTTAATGATGTCCAAGATGTTTTCAATACTAAATTTATAATCGATCTTATATACATTTCTCGAATGCCTAAATCAATAAAATAGTTTCTGGTACTTTGTATTATTCGCAATGCCGTGGATTTTATCTGAGGCATGCGTCGGCTGGTACTTAAATGTATCTCTGAAAGATAAAAAATACACTCGGTCGCGGAATCCAGTTAACGGTCTCGTGTTCTCACGTGGTCCTCTCAAATTCGGAATTTACTCGTGGCGCCTCGATTCCCTTGTAATACGAAGTTGAACGTCTGTGTTCGGTCTTTGGCGGTCTTTCTTTCTTTTCTTTTCTTTTCTTTTCTTTTCTTTTCTTTTTTTTTCATCACTTTATCACTCGAATCAACATCGAACGTGTATCGTTTCGCGTTTCAGGAATGTTATGCAGCATTATAAAACCCCAAATTTAATTTCTTCCCTTGATCCCGGCTGTAACTGGAACCTTTTTCGATTTGTGATCTCTTATCCTTTGCTTCGGTCGGCATGCCATTGAAAAAAAATCTCTCGAGATTGGCTTTTCACACTCGCAGATAACTAGGTGCCAGGAATTTGCTCTAAAGTTGGATATTTATCGACTGGCCAACTCGTATTCGTTGAATAACAGAAAAGTTATACGGTGGTTTCAGGATCAAGTATATCAAACGATCCTTCTTCTTGTTCTATTTATTACTTTGGATAAAGTTCCCGATGAAACTTGGAGAGATAAAGAGAAATTTACATTTAAAATTTTAGCTTGGAATATTTATTAATTTCTAAAATATTAATAAGAAATTAATATTGTATATTGAAAGTTGCATACACTAATACATTGAATGTTATTTATCCAGATATTAATACAAGAATCTTCATTAGTAAAAGTTGTCTAATGATATTTACATTAACCTTAATATCTATACGATTTTCTCTCTGCAATTCATCAATAATTCATTTCATTTTATCCATTCATTACAGCTATTTCGTAAATCCTTCAATTAGCTCTTTCTTCTTCGATTTTAATGGAGAATATATTGTAAAGGATAACTTTTTCTTTTATATAATAAAAAGTTTATACAAATGGTATCATATTGATATAGATGCACAAGAATATATATATATATATTTTTTTTATAAATAACTTGAAAACTAATCATCGTTAATGTTTTTTTTTTTTTAAACTTTTGTCACTAAGATGAGATTTTAATCGAAAGAATTTGAAGAAAGTTCTTCATATTTTTTATTAATTTTTAAAAAAATATAAAATAAAATATGGAATATAAATTCAAAATCAAAATATTTATAATCAGTAAGAATAATCATTTTTTCGTTTATTTTCTTTTTTTCAGCTTCATAAATGCGTCAACAGATTCATTATAATAATATGAAATCATGCAAAGATTAAATATACAATATTTTTTCGACCTTATTAATTTATCATTCATTTTTATTGCTTATTTTTATTTAATTCATGATTATTTACATTATTCTTTAAATTTATTCAAACCTCTTTTGCTTAATATTCATTTATTTCTA